CTCTCTCTCTCTCTCTCTCTCTCTCTCTCTCTCTCTCTCTCTCTCTCTCTCTCTCTCTCTCTCTCTCTCTCTCTCTCTCTTTGTGGCTTCCCTATCGTCATCTGATGTGGAGGTCTTCTTGGACGGTCAAACCAATGGCAAATCTTGGTGGCTCAGGCGGAAATCAGCGGGTGATGGCAATGAAGAACGTCCCTCGTAGAGTGCATGGAGACTGCATCGATGTTCACTCCGTTCGAATTGTGCACACAGTCAGTAGCAAGGCTGACTGTTTGAACACTACGTTCAGTCTACGTACAATCGAGCCTCGCTCCACCCCTCTACACATCAAGGATGTATACTTCCGTTTTCTAGTGGAAGATTCATTCTCATTTTGCATATTTGTTAAGTACTGCAGCCTTGTTTTTTTTTGTTTTTTTTTTTTTTGTAATAAGGACCATTTCTCGATTTATGTGTGTCGCTCCAACTGTCACGGATGTCCTAAGGACAGGTCCGTGGCTACAAGCCGGTAAGGGTATATACCGGATTTTTTTTTTTGAGCCCGTTTTCGTAAGTTGATGCCCAAAACCCGTAGCATAACGCATGTGCGTTGTATACGAATACAACACACCTCGTACGTTGTATTCATATACAACGCACATGCATTTTGTTCGGGGGAAGACTGTAGGCCGTATCCAACCCTTTTTTGTGAGCTCTTTCAGTTGCCGTCGGAGCTCGTCCAACTCGGCCTGAGCCGTCCTATAAATTCTCCCTTTGGGTATCTTGCTCTCAGGGATGATCTCTATAGCATGGACAAGCTCCCTGTCTATGACACCTGTGGGCTTTTCAAACAGATCAGGGTATTTAGCAACGACACTCTCTATCTCTGGGGGTGATTTAACGACCAAGTACATACTCTCCTCTTGGTTCTGTTTATAATAATTATGGAAGGCTGATGCGCACAAGCACCCGTAGGAGACAATTAACCTACTAGCCTTATACTTAGCTAGTCTAATGGTCCTCCCATAGGCAACTCATGCTTTAGCACTTTCTTGTCCTACTCAAACCGGGGCTTGGCAACCTCAAGGTAATACATACCTAACAACATGTCAAATGGTAGGTTGTCACTAACCAGGAACGAAATCCTATGATCAAGTTCCCCTCCTACATAGAAGAAAGTGTAGACCACGTCCTTGACGTAGTCTTCCACCAACATGTGCTCCTTAATGGCCAAAGTAGATGCTATCGGTCTACTCAGGCGCTGCACTCGGTCCTGTAGGCACACTCTCGGAACGCAGTTGCGACTTATAAAGTTTCGTGTGGAGTCGATGTCTACGAAGGCACCGCACTAGCGGCCACCTACACCAACTTCCACAATGAAGTGCTCCCCTTTAGGACCTCGACTTAGTGCCACCCAGAACTCACGAGGGTCCCTTGCCGACCACTCACTTTGTAGGTCATCTAAGGCCTCAGACACATCCAACGAATAGAGTACTGTTGGGTCAGGATGCATCTGCGGGGTTGTAAGGAGTCAATAGCTTTGGCCAACTCTTGAAACGAGGATGGTACATCACCCGCTTCAACACGAGCAGAAGCAGCTACAACTTCTATTGGCCCTATGTGTTTCCCAAGCTGAAATTCGTAGAGGTCCCACTCTGGGAAGAAGGAATCCCACCTTTAGGCGGTATCTTCTGTGAGACCTTTGTTTTTTTTCATTTGAATTGTTGATGGCCATACTCGCCGCAGTTAATGCAACCACCCCGCGTATAACGGTCCCGCCACACATCTTGATCCAAACCCGCTCTAACCCAAGCCGCTATTTTGTTCGGGTTCGGGGTTTGCCCCTGACTCCTCTATGGACCACCCTTGTCGTGGCCACCTGCCTTACCCTTTACCAAAGCATCGAGGTTGCTACCCTCAGCATCATCCTCGCCGTCTAACTCTAAACCGTCCACAAGGTCTAAGAAGTCCTCGATCTCGGTTTGAGTACCATCAACCATCATCAATCGGCTTCCCTTCTTCTTCCACTCTTGTGGACTCTTCTTTTTTCTTCCGTCCGTAGGGAGTGGTTGAGCACCTCCTAGCGTGGCCTCTAAATCTAGAGCCTTCTTGCGAAAGGTGTGATACTCTAGCCGAACCTCGTTTGCTAATAAGTTCTTAATATCTGTGGGAAGACATATCAAGAAGATGGTCAATAAGAACTGTGGATCATAGCATACCCCGGGGACGACAATCAAACGCTCTATGGTAGTGGTGAGTTCACTCATGGACTTGCACTTCTTAGCATCAAGCCGAAGCAACCCATCAGTAGCAATCTGTGCCTGTGGAGGGTTGTGTCATCGCGCTTCCACCAAATCCATAAAGCTCTCTAGGGTATGGGTCTTAGCCCAATCACCCATGTTCCTGCTGAATCCCTTTGAGGCAACTAACCCATTTAGCCAGCGAGTTGCCGAACCCTCCAGATAGGATGCAACAATTATCACTTCCTCCTCTACCAATGTCCTCTTCGCCCTTACCCACACTGACACCGTTCTCAACCAAGTGCCAAGAGCCTCGTCCTTCTTATCCTCTGTGAAGGTTGAAGGTGGTTTCAATGGGGTCTTGGGGTACCAAGGTTGTTGTTGTCCCGCTGGTGGGGCAGGTGGCGGCTGTGGTATAGCTCCAGCCGTTGGACCAGAAGAAAAAGAAGCAACCGTGTATGTTGTTGTTGCTGAAGTATCGCTTGGTGTGGTACCAGACTGAGGTGGGTAAAGGCCTGTCATCGCCAATAATGGTAGCAATGGCAAAACTGTTGGCCTGAAACCTGGCCTGTGCATGGCATTCAAGATCTGGTCCAGGGTATCCTGGATAGCGTCAAGTTTGTTGTCCATGTATGCGTGCATGGAAAATATGATCGCCTTGAGAATCTTTGTAGTGTCGTCAAGCGTCGAGTCGTCTAATCCCTCTAACGCAGCTTTGCCTGCCTCTCTTCCCTCAAGCCTGACACTTCTATTCCTAATCTCATTCTCTCTTTCGATAGCCTCTTTAAGTTCCTTCTCTAACCTTAAGCGGATCCTCTCTACCTGTTGGAGCTCCATTTGCTCCCTGGTGCGTAGAGGCGGTGAGTTGGACTGCACGCCCGCCATCTGACTGGTTCCGGATCCTGTCATACTAGAGATAAACCGCCCGTTGGTGTCCTACATTCCTAACGAAAAAACAGACGAGGTTGCCCCAGATGATGCCGCAACTGTAGCCACTGCTACTGCGCTAGCTGCTACCTCTGCTAACGTTCTCTCTACAGTTGTTGCTGCTTCACTCGCAGTCTCAAGATTACGGGCCCTTGCTTCGGCACTTAGCCTTCTTTCCTCTCCTGGTAGCAAGACCTGGAACACTACAGATATTCTAAGTGTATCACGCCTAGTTTGCCTTCTATCATCAACTGTACCTTCACCACCTTCTGATCCACTCATCGGCTAGGCAAATGCTGCCTGCACTAGTGTTCTCTCTGGAACCTACCGCATCATGCGTCTGGCCGGTTCTAAAAATAATAAAAATAATAAGAATATCCGACAAGTAACCTAGGCTACCGTTCAAGCGGTATCAACATCATTTACAAAGACCGTACACATAATCGAAATCTACTTTGACTAGTTCTCTTACAGAAGCTTTGAGAAGAACTGACTATGGTAGAACATTACAGTCCTAATCTAGGTTGTTTGTGAGGTGTCAACAGTTAGTCAACCAACTAATCAAAATAAAAGTAAACTATGTGAGCAGATGTATGAGCAATGGGTATAGTTGTGTTTCCCAGTTGAGTCTCAATTGGAATCTTCCTCCCCTGTATCCAACGTGCCTGTAGGCATTATCAAGCGGCAAAGTCTAAGGTGTGCATTTGCGGCCCACCCGTGTGCCCAAGGCGTATGCTTATGACCTGAACTGCCCGTTCTTTACCCTCGCGTGCAACGAGCCTTACGTCTGACTGATCTGGCTGATCAAGAGGCAGTTTAAGGACAGCCCCCACGGTCCTCAGGAATGATTTAACGTCGCAATCAGGATGACGATAACAGCCAGTGGACAGTTCAGACCCCCGCCATAAATATTTTTAGACAGTCTGGATAGCGTCTGCATAGGACTGGTCAGTCTGCACACCCCTTCTATCAGCACAACAAAGAGCCTCAAAGGACAAAGCAGCATGGCCTGCGTGTACTACTCCCGTGGGTTGGCATGGTGATCGTGACCCGTGCTTCGACCAGGGCCCTTCAGACTCTCCTGGCAGATGCGCCACCGAGAAGAATGTCGTCTCTCAAGGTAGAGCGTTCACGACTCCTCACACAAAATAGAGGACACTCAAGGTTGGACTCACTTTCTCACGGTAAGAAGAGATTGAGAGGGTAGATAAGGCAAGGGAAAAACGTACCTGGAGATAGCTGCCCCCAACCACAGATTTCTCACCAATTGAGTTGACGTGCATTTCGATGACCGGTCATAGCTTTGGTACCACCCACAACGCAATGCAGTGCCACCTCAGCCAAAATGCCACATCAGCATGCTCATCATCATACATACATCCGTTGTCGCCACAGTTCCCACGCTATTGCCACAGCCTTCCAGCGGTCGACCCCTCTACCTGGGTCCCGCCCCACAAGCCAGCGCCAATGTATCCTCACTGCGCAGAAGCACCGTCAGTGCACCAAGTAATAATGTCGCCGGCGACAGGTACGGCGATCACGAACCAGCTCCGATACCAAATTGCAAGGAATATGAGTGGGAATGATATACAAAAAGCCAAGTTGTGAAATCACACAGATGTCCAAGTAGTCGTGTACAGTCAGAGAGCATAAATACCCCTAGATTCCATCCAAATAAGAGCAATACAATGAAGTCATGAGCCAATGTTCAAGCCTTCAGGCCACACGAACACAGCATCCAATGTCGCTCCTCTCTGTCTGGCGCCCAGCGCCCAGCCTACACTACTTGTCTATCCTACCTACATCAGCATTCACGCAACAGGCTCACTTCGACTTTGAAGACCAATGTGCATGACGTCAACACCATAGCTGACCTCCCTCATGCACCAGGTACGTATCTCGTCTCCCCCCATCATACCCTGACCACTCACACTCGCCTCCTTCTTGAAGACCACCGATCACCCTCTTACTGCCTAGCGCCCTGCAGCCCGGCTATGGCTGCTTGCGCTCAGCTGCCCAGCAGCACCCCTCTCACGTCACACGCGCCCGCACGCGCCCTGGCCAGTAGCGCAGCATGCAGAGTCTCACGCAGCAACGCAGCAGCGTGACCACATTGCCTGTGTGGGCCAGAATACCAGACCCGGGCTGCCTCCTTCCCTATATGGAAGTGGCAGCCTCTGTTTCACTGCGTGTGGCCTGGCTGGAAGCTTCCGGTCGGGCCCCAGTGCCTGCGCCAAGGCCCAGTGCTGCAGTTGAGGGCCTGGGCCCTTTACAGTTGGGCACGGCCTGAGTTTCCAGACTTGGGCCGTTTGCTGCATTTGCACAGGACCCGGGGTATATACGTCGACAATGCTGCTTTTGCGTAGGCCCGTAGCCACTTCGTGATGTATCTGCCCTGCATTGTGTGTGTATGTGCCCAGGCGCAACTACCAAGGCCTGGGCCAAACTGTACGACGCAGCTTAGGGAGGCTCACACTTCCATTCAACCAACTGGCTTGCTGCAACAGCCTGAGTACCCACATATGGAAAATGTCAAATTTTGGCCTCTAGTGAATATTCAGGCCCGCCTTCACTTAGGGCGGGCACTGGGCTTGCTGAGGGCCTCTGCCCAGAACATGTGCATGTCTGATGGGGGCCCCTGCGAGGGCTCATTCCTCACA